TGGTAGCATGTGTCTGAATTGAATAATTATAGTATTGGAGATGGAAAGTGAGAAATATGGAATGTAGTCACACAGAGTAAAATTTCTAGCTGCTCAGGCTTCTCTTTTCCAAGCTAAACAATCGCCAGAGATCTCTGAACCTCTTCAGATTATCATATTTTGGGCTTAGACTTGATAGAGAATGAGAATTGGACTGAAAAATTGGAAATTGATTTGGTGAAATGAAAAGTATACAAAATGAGATATTGGAAGATGATTGTCTATTTCAAACAAGCTGCAAAGAGACCTAACAGATCTGCAAGTACAATTAGTTGCACAGTAAGGCTTAAGAACATGAATTATGGAGATGCTTTATAATTCTTGTCATTTAAAGAGAAATACTTTTAATGCTTTCTAGAATGACTGGAACAACTCTTCATAAAAAGAGGTTAGAAATAAGAACTGGAGTGAGATGTGGATAAAGACTCAAAGCTGTATCTTCACTCAGAATGGTTATGGATAAAGTTGGATCTAACTAGTTTAAAGTACAGTGACATATTCTGTTGAGCTTTGAGGGACAGTTAGTGTGAATGAGAATTGGGGATTAATAAAAATAAATAAGTTGCAAGGTGTGTGTAATCCTCACTGTGAAGAGGATACTGCAGAGGTGGTATCGAAGTGGGTGACACTGCTGGTTTCTCCAGGACTGTTCTTATCAATTGCTGACTGAAAAGTGACCTTTGTGTAGAAAAAGGCAATGCCTGAAAAAGACAAAATTTAAAGGCACCTGTTACATGTGAAAGGCAGTGCTGAAGAACTGTGCAACCCTGGGGATTGGAATTACTGAACAAAACAGCATAAAGTGCAGCTTGTCATAAGTATGAGTGTTACAAAGAGCCTTTGCAAAAGTCTGGCAGCTCATTAGTTGGAAATACAGAGCATTAGGAGGAGGTAATTTGGTTTATTTGGCTGCAGCTGAGCAATGAGACCAAACTGAACAAATAGGATCTGAGAATGTATCGGACTACTTTTATTCTGTAGAAGTAGGCAACAGTATTGTTAGGTACTAAGAAGAGTTAATTTTAAATGGAGTATGTTTTTCTGGCTGATTAAGGTCAAAAGTAATGAATCTAATGTGGAACAAGTACAGAGAGATTACTCAAATTATTGGATGAATGGTGGCTTTGCTTATGGTGAAAAGGACTTTGTTCTGCATGGCTGAACAAGCTGGACTGTGAGACAAGATGGTCGCAGTTTGTGTTCAGAAGTGTGAAAAACTATTTGAAATAAAAAGCAAAGTAATTCAAGTGTCTGTGTAAATCGAAAGTTCTGGAATCATTCAATCTGAATGCTCCATAATTTGTTTTTGAATTGTATGTATTCTGTGATAAGCTTTGAAAAAAAATGTTGTAGTGGTAGAGATCTAGTTCTTTATCAAGGTGATCAGTTTTACCAGTTTGCAGCAGATATTGATGTTCTCATCTGTGGTTTCTAGCAATATTTGATGTGCTCCATTACACGAAAGTTCTTTTATCAGCTGCCATTATTTTAATATTAGTAAGAGTAAGCTCTATGCTTAGTAGAAGTTTGCAAAGAATAGAGTCAGCAAAACTATAGTCTGTGGAAGTAGTTTTCTCTGTGTAGCTGTGTAGAGAGAATATTTATAAAGCTATTTGTTTATTTTGTCTCTGTTGGAAGTATTTAGAAAACCAAGCAAAATCAAATTTGGCAAGAATCCTTTCCAGATGTGATTTTTGGAAAAAAGGGTGGGAATTGGCCATTCATGCACTTTCAGATTCAAGCAGTTCATTATGTGTCTGGAGACCTGATCTCTGTATTTTTGAAAGACAGCAGGTCATTAAAGAAACCAGCTCTTAGTTCTTGCAAAAACACAGGTTGCCAAGGGTTTAAGGCTCTCACTTCAAACACCTGGTGTTCTGAGAAGAAAACTGAGACCTTTCTTACAGAGCAAGAGTGTGTTGTTTGGGTTTTTTGAAGCAACTGTTACCTCCTGTTGCTCAGAAGAAGATTCAGGAATGGCAACTGCTACATATTAGAACAAAGGAATGTGTTTACAAACAAAGGAAAAGTTGTGAACTGGGAAGGAAGGATTTGTTTGTTTAATAATTAGGATTAAAATGTTCAGTTCATTTCACAGGAAGCTTCTGAAATAATATTATTATTGATAATGATTTTGATCCCATTAAGTTGTGTTATTATTGAACAATTAACATTTCAAAATGGCTGCAAAATTTTGGTTATAAAAATTTAAGCGAACAGTTGTTCCCTTCTTCTTTGATCTTCCAGCAAGTTATCTTCCTCGCTTTTCTGTAATTGTTAATTCTCTTTTACATTTGTCTTTTAGAACTGCCAGCCTAACACCAGAATCCCAGGAGCTTGACACTGTCAAAAAGTGTCAGAAAGTGTAAAAAAGAAGCTGTGAGGTTCCTGAAAGTCTCTGAAGAATGTGGTGCTGTGAAACAAGGAGCTTTAATATATGATAGTCATAGATTGTTGAGGGGAAAAGGGAAAATAGGGGGTGTATGCATACAGCCAGCAGAACTTAAAAAAGCTGCTGGCAGGTAGCTCTTGCATTTTCTCCATATGAACAACTGCAGTGCACTGCAACTGAGCAGTGCTGGCTTTTTAGTCTCAGGAGGTGAAACATGGAATGTTTTAGGCAGCTGCAACTGGGGTTGGTTTGTGGTTTACCCAGATGCCTTTGTGATGATGTAATGCTCAGATTCCTGTGGCTAGTGAAAGGAACTAGAAGGCTTGTGTGGTTGGATTAGGTGTGCACGGCTCTCTACAGCACGTCATCTCAAATTCCAGCACAGGATGTATGAAAGTGTAGACAGATAATTGTTTTCCACAAGGGAAAACATCTGATGCTGGTATTAAGGTTATTTTTATTCATGAAGAGTTCTCAGAGAAGACTGGTTTGAATATTGAGAGCAGAGCATTCTGTGAGGTATGAGAAGAAACACAGTTTGGTTTGTAGTTTAGTGATCTCTTAGAAATTGTGTCCCTGGAAGTGTTGGTAAGGGTTACTGTGCACCTAAGGGATGACTGTTTGTGGGAAAACATGAAGTGCCCTGGTCTGGTTTCTTAAGTGGGAGATACATAAATATATACATATATAGCTATATTATGTAATATTTAATAGTGTGTAATAGTATGTTGTTCTCTTGACTTTGAAATTAACGGAGGAACAAGCTGCTTTTGGTGGAAGGGATGTGGGTCTGTTGCTCCATTCCTTTAATGGCAAGAGGGTGAAATAACCCTATGCCCTTCTGTTTGCTTCCCAAAACTGACTTTGGATAAAAGGATGGATCAGTAAGATGTAAAGCAGGGGGAATTTCTTGGGGCTGGTGAAGTTGTGCAGTAGGTACATTAGAGTTTTTGCTTTGGGCTGATCTCACCAGTGATGTGTTTCTGGAATGACTCTCTGAAAGCTGTGATGTCTTACAGCTTTAAAGTACTAAAAGTTGTACTCCCAGTTTGTGCCAGATGATGATAAAGTGCTTTGAGAACCAAGTGGGTTTATCTTTGGGTTCAGTCAGACCCAGCTACCTGGTCCTCAAAGCACCTCTTTCAGCTGTGAAATTTAGATACCTCTGGAGAAACTGTGTTCTAGGCTATCTTCCTCTTGCGGCTGTGTGGGTTAATTATGTGACTTTGAGATGTGAGAGCAGAAAAGTATAGATGGGAGGTGCTTTATAAGCTAAATTTAATTGTTAAAGAAAATGTTGCTTCAGTGCTTGTCAGTGGTCACCTAGAAATTCTCAATCCCCTCTTCATGCTACTACACAGTTCAGCTAAGCATAAACTGTGGTTTTATGTTTATTTAGGCATTACTGAATTCTTCTTGTATGAGCCTTTTTCTGTATGAACTACGTATTTTCACTTTGCTAGCATGAGTGTCATCCTTTTAAAAACACAATGTCTGAAGTATTTTAAAGTATTAATTTTATTTTTTAAGGACCGGATTCTAAACAATCCTGTCCTGTCTTTCTTAATTTTATGACTATTCCCTCTCTTTATGACTTTTTCAGTTTAATCATAGAAAAGTTTGGATTGGAAGAGCTCATTAAAGGTCATACAGTGCAACCCCCCTGTAGTTGTAATGTATGTATTTTTTGTTAGCTAGTGAGACTCCATGCTGTTAGATTAGAATGTGTACTGTGGAACTTACCATCTGTGCACTCAAAGTGAGAAGCAATAGTGAACTGAATACTTAATAGTGGAGAAAAAGCAAATGTGGCAGCATGGTCCCCCTCAGTCCTACGTTTGCATGTTTAGGTGAGCACTTGTGGCTTTTATGTGACTGCTCAAATCAAGAAAGCTGGGAACAGGATGTTTTTTAGGAGTGAATGACTTTACGCAACTGAGAGATGAAGAAAAAGATAAATAAATCCTGATTGAGAAAACCGTGGCGTCAGGGAGAGGGAGGAAGCATGGCTATTCATGCAGGTGATCCTTAGTAAGAGAAAATTGAAGAGGATTCTTTGTCACACAAACAAAAGCAAATAGTGCTCTGTGCACTGAAGAAGGTGAATGAAATCCTTGGCAGGATGAGATACGAGAAAAATATGAAAGAGGGATTCTGGGATCTAGGAGGGAGCTAATTGAAAGAGAAAAGGTTAGACTAAAGGCTTACTTTTATAGGTGGTGGTGTTTGATCTATTTGCTTTTAATAAAAACCAAATCTTTGTAATGATCTTCTGGATACTCTTTATTGGCAAAGAAAGATAAATTGAGATGGCACTATTTCCTGTTGCCAGATAGGATAAAACCCTGACACATGGACAGTATTAAATTTGTTCTTTATGTACAGCAAAATAGAAACATATCAGTGTGTGCATATAAGGGATTTAGAAATAGCATAACAATTATGGAGATAGAAAAAGGTAGCTAGATAAATAGGACTATGCAGAATTTGAAGTGTTTGTTGCCTTTAAAAATAGCACATTTTGTTACAAATACTGAGCTACTTGTCTTTTTATATTTCTTTTTAACAGACTCTGAAGGCAGATCCAGAAGAACTGTTTACGAAACTGGAGAGAATTGGTAAGGGGTCTTTTGGTGAAGTTTTTAAAGGAATTGACAATCGGACTCAGAAAGTTGTTGCTATAAAAATTATTGACCTAGAAGAAGCAGAAGATGAAATAGAAGACATCCAACAAGAAATCACGGTGTTGAGTCAGTGTGACAGTCCATATGTAACTAAATATTATGGATCCTATTTAAAGGTAAGATACTCACAGATGGTGGTGATTTGATTTTACAGGTAATTCTTTTCCAGGCTATCTAGTTGTGCCTGTTTTTGTTGGTGAGGTTTGTCAAATCTCAGTTGACGAAAAATATATTTTTGTCCTTTCAACTCTAAAGAAAGAATGAGTTACTACATTTTGTGAAGTGACAGAATTTAATAAGGAAAGATGCACATCTATTGCTATTTCTGTACAAAAACCCCTTTAAATAACATGAGTTTGTTGAGCTCTAATATGTTTAGATTCTCTTAATATTAGTTAATTTAAATTCAGAAAATTCAACCTAAGTCTGCATTTGAGTTGTCAAAACATTAAAAGCAATTAGTATCAGCTGTTTTGTGAAGCTTGAAATTTTTTGTCAAGGTTTGATCCCTGATCATTCTAAGCTCTTAGGTTGTTCTTCTGAGCAGACTGAACCCAGCCTTAATCTGAGTGATTTAAAAATTAAAATCTGAAAGTAAATAATTTTGCACATTAGACATGAGTGACGCTAATAATGGAAGGGGTTTCTGTTAACTGTCTTGTGAATTTGTTTCCCTTTCCTCCCACTGCCACATTATTATTATTGTCAGGATTCAGTTTGAAGTGTGCCAGATAGTTTGCTCTTCTGTTAAGGTTTTCTTTTTTTGTTATTGTTTTTGATTGGATGGATGTAATGATTTATTGCGTCTTTAAGGTGGTGGAAGTATCTGGAAGCTTTTGATATTACTTTATTCCTTGGGCACACTTTGTTCCCATCTCAACAGCTCTTTCTTTTATGACAGTGAGATGAGAATCTAGATAAGAGATTGTTGTCTTGGCAGGATTTGAAGTTAGAAGTAGGCAGAAAGTACTTTATTCAGTCTGCTTTTGCTTTGGTAGAAGTATTCTATTTATTTGCAAAGACATGAAGGTTCTGAAAGGGTGACCCTGCTTTCTCTCTGTATTTCTGCGATTGCCAGTTGATTTCCAAAGAAAAAAGGACTTTTTCTGAATCTGGGATATGTGTTACTCAAATGAGAGACAGTTTTTCCTTTCTTCCTTGTGCTCTGAACCAGTTTACTTGTGTATCTTAGCAGTGAAGGGCTTTGGTAATGGTTTTTAGACCTGATAACCTGTTACCAGAGCTGGACTTCTGTGTTAGGTATAGGTTTGATCTCAGAAGCATCAGAAGGTAGTTAATTGAGCACAGTAAATGGGATAAAGTTTTCCTCATGGCTTCTACCACGCTTTTGAGATTACACTGTCGAGGACTGATAGTTAAATGAAGTATGGCAGCTGCACCACTGTGCCTTCCTGGTCTCTTTGCTCTAAACAGTTGTAGCCCTTCCCTGTGACATTCCAGCTGTGTGAGCTGTCCCATCATGTCATGGTAATTGCAATGAGATCAAAGCCCTGTAACTGCACAGAGATCTCAAATTCCTGCTGCTTGTTCCCTCTACTGCCTTCATTGGTGTGCCAGCACTTCACAGAGGTATTTGAGTTTGTGTGTGGCTCAGTAGGGGTGCAAGGGAATGTCTATCACACAATCCTTTCCTCTTCTCCCACTCCTAGTTCAAAGCTCACTTCACCAGGTTGGCCATTCTGTTGGCAAAGGCTTGTGTGACCTGTTTCATAAGGTGGGTTCCATCTCTTCCAATCAGCAGAGTCCTAAACAAAAACCTTGTTGCCAGCACCAGTGATGCAGCCAGTTTACTTTGTAAATCTACTTCTGCTCTCATCATTTGCCCAAACTGGCATAATTAAGGAAAAAACTACCTGGGCCTCCAGACCCTTGTCTCCAGAGCCCTGATATTGAGTGTTCCTATTCCCTTGGTGTTGTTTGTGTCCACATGAGAAACCAGCAAGGGGTGTTAGCTCTTACAGTATAAGAAATAGAATATAAGAAAAAGTCTCATGGGAAAACCTCTTATTAGTTTTAAAAATGTGTAGAATTACAATGAGGCTGAAAAAGAAAATCCAGTGTTCAAATTTGAACTAAGCGAATGTTGATGCTTTTTGAAGGTGTTATGGCAGTGGTTGCTTTTCCTGGTGGAAAGTGAGACGAGATTGTAGGGCTCTGTACCCTGAATGAGTTTGGCTGGGTGGAAGGGTCAATAGGGATTTTTGTGCTCATTGTTGTGAGGGGGACCTTCTGATACCTTCCATATCCCTTTTTCTGTTCAGTGCAGTAGCCTGTGAGTTTTTCAGCTTGTGTCAGCGTTCCAAGATGCAGCACCAATAGTGGCTGTGTGTGGCTCAGTTACTTTTGCAGTGAGGTACAGCAATTTCTACGACTAGTAGAATGTGAAGCTACTCATGTACTCCTTGCTTTAGTTCTTTGTGGATGAGTGTTGTTTCTAAGACACTTGCTACTGCAGGACTTTTGGTCTTCAAAACAAAAAGCTGATTTCTTTATGCTGTTAAAAATTAGTGTGTGGTTGTTACTAGATGATGCTGATAAGTCGTAGAATCTTTGTAAAATAAACATTTTGCAGTTCTGTTTGCTTTCTAAAATAAGAGTGAGGTCCTGTTATCAGGTAGAGATACTGTGTCATCACATATATATATACACACACAAATGGGTTTATATTAATATTTAAATGAATTTGTTCATATTCTTGGCTAGAAATCTAAGTTTGTTTGCTGCAGGTCTCTGTTGTGTGTGGAAGCCAGGACTGCCATATGTAGTTCTAAGGGTCTGACCATCTTTTAGCTCTGTTTTTGACAGTGCAGATAATCCATCACTGAGAATGTTCAACTCATTAATTTTCCATGTGTTGAGTGATTAGGAGACATTATTTCTTCTACTGGAGAGTTTAGCACTAATTAGAAGAAAGATAATTATGTCTTGTCACAGAACAAACTTCTTTGAAGTAAGCAAGTAGGAAAACAATAGGATCTCAGTTTATATTGTCTGCCACTTCACCAGTTGTCATCCTCTAGTCTGTGCAGCCTCATGCATGTTGACCATGTTTCTGATGGAGGTTGGATAGGAAGAGTTACTGTTTGTAGGGAACTCTTAATTTGATTTTCTGTTAATTATTTTGGCAGACAGATTGAAATTGTTTTTGGAATTGCTATCCTTTCTCTAAGTAGGCAGAATGTTTTGGGCTTGAGTTTTTTGTTTATTTTTTAGTAAACCAAATCATCTGTTTTTGAGAAATCTTTGTTGTTCTTCATTCTGTGTTACTCCACGCCTTCTTCCATTAAGCCAGGTGATTTTATATGCCAGTGTGTTCAGGAACCTGTTGTTAGAAATTTTAGAAGGCTTATATATTACCACTGTGCTTGCCTGAGGCCTCTTGCTGTCTTGAGATGATGTGAGAAGAGCTTTTCAAGCTCTTGGTGCCTTCTGCATGATGTACATGGTAGGACAGCTCAAAATAACTATTACAATTTAATGAGTTAATGAAAGTTTCTTTGTTCTAGTAACTTTTTAAAAACACTGGTTAATTTTTAGGTTCTACCTAGAATAGTGTGATATACCCAAAAGCCTTGTTAAATTTTCTTACTCTGCAATTCTCTGTATATCCTATTTGAATATTTTGGAAGTGTGTTTATAGCAAATTCTTCTTTCATATCCAAAAACAAAGCCATTTCTGTTAATATGAAATATTATTGCATTAGCACAATGAGTCTTAAATAAGAAGCAACTTATTGCTCTCATAAAGCAAGTCTTGCATTCCTTCCAGACTTTTTTCTGTGCATCTCTTTTTGGAGGTTTGTGTGCAGTTGCTGTGATCAGAGTTCATGCAAATAGAGCAAAAGCAATAGTGACATGGTACCAGTTTAGGTTGTCATTCTGAATATAAATTTATTTGTGGTACACCTTTTTGTCAGAAATCAACATGTGTGTATATAAAACAGAAATGGAAATGCCCTTTTCTAAGGGCACTGCCTTTTTAAATACAATGTCATAATGTTCCCATTCTATTGGGAAGAAAGGTCTTTTGTCTGTTGTATATACTAAGCAACTGCAGTGTTGCTTTTAAAGTGAATTGCATGGTTTACATAGGTGCAGATATCTACGGGGATTGCCATTCCTTGTCTGCCATGGTGTGTTAAAAACCTGTGTTGATAGTTCTTGCTGTCTTCCAAATGAGATGTTCATCTGTTCCTCTATGATCTGATTAAATGCTCCAAGGCTAGAAGAATAGCAGTTCTTTTTAGATCCTTATAGAATTAATTCATGAAACTTCTCTGGATCTGTTTACTTCTTTAGATTTTAGGTTAACAGCATCCACATTCTTCCTTGTAATGGATCAGGGATTCTTTTTGTTTTGTTAATTTTTTAAAAATGTCTTATAAATTTTGCTGCAATTTGCTGTCTCTTCTGAGTTTTGCTGAGCTGGAACTCTTAGGAAGTATTGCTATGCTACTTATTCCAAAACTTCTTCTGTCTAGAAACTTGTCAGCTCTGCTTTTTGCATCTTATTCTGCTTCACCAATTTTTCAAGAGGTTAGTTAGATTTGGTTCTATGGCTGTTTCTCCTGTCCTTGTTTGAAATTAGTTTTATTTGCAAGATTCAGATGTCTCTCTGGTGATGTTTCTTCAGTTTTGTTAATAACTTTAAAGATGTCTTTATTATAACTTTATAACATTTTTATATTTCTTGATCTTGTTTTATTATTTAGAAATATATGATCAAATTAATTTGTGTTTATATTTAAAACATTGGAGGTTAAAGACTCTTGATGTTTTTTCGTATATGGATATATATGTACATTACACTCCAAACTCAGGTTGATAAATGTATATGGTCAAAAGCTGAGATTGATGTGTTTATGTGTATGTATATGTTAAAAATTCTTTCATTTCTTCATCTTAGACTTCTGTACATATGCACGTAATGGCAGAGCAGATAAATTATAAGTAGTTCCATCATCCATTGTAACTAGGTACAAATGATATCAAACTGGTATTGAACTAGATTTGTAGTATGTATTTTAAAACATATTACTGTCTCTAAGCTTGTTTCTTCATCCTCCAAATATATTTTTTGTAGCACACTTTGGAG